AAACGCAGTAATTGTGTTGGATAATGCGCCTTATCATTCTCGAAGAATGGAGAAGGTCCCAACAACGGCTTCAAGGAAAGTTGATGTTCAAAATTGGCTCCGCTCGAAAAATATCAACTTTGAAGAAGCAATGCTGAAAGTACAATTATTAAGAATTGTCAAGGATCACAAGGCGGAATATCAAAAATACGCCATTGACGAAATGGCAGCAAGTCAAAATAAAACTGTACTCCGTTTACCTCCATACCATTGCGAGCTCAATCCCATTGAGCTCATATGGGCAGAGGTTAAAAATTATATAGCACAATACAACTTTTAAATTTTGTGACCTCAAAGGACTTTTCAAAGAAGCACTAGAATTAATAACAGCGCAAAAATGGGAAAACTGTATTAAGCACGTGAAAGACAAAGTTGAAAAGAGAATGTGGGAACTGGACAATATTTTAGAGGAACAAGTCAAGCCATTCATTATTGACGTTGGTGCTTCAGGCAGTAGCGATGATGAAAGCTCATCAAGCTCATCTTTCCAATAAAAGATGTCGTTCATCAAATTCGGTAAGTTATAAGTAATTATAAAGCTACTGTATTTTTTAATTAATTATTGACATTTTTGAACCCATTTTGGCAAAACCTATTCAAGAATCTACTTTCTGACAATATTCAACCATGCACATTTTTTTACGTTTTGAACGTTTTAATTTGGTTACATATTTACCTAGAAATCAAAAAATATACTAATCAATGTTCTAAAAGCAATTTTAAGAGATATACGATTATTTTTAATTTAGGCTAATTTAAACGCCATTTTGAGATTATATTCGACTGTATTTCACCAAACAACAGGCGGCATCCGAAGCTGGAAATCGAAGCGAAAATTTTGAAACCCTTATGTATATTTACATCATTATATATTTCTTAGCCCACCCCCACATGATCCTATATCCATCACCAATCGTATACACATCGAATTGTGCTAATTTACTACAAAGTTACGCAAAGCAGCATCTACTATCTAAAATATGTACTGCGTGACTCTTAATACGTCCCTGCCGAATGTTACAGCGTTCGATGATCACGTGGTCTTGTTTATGTCCGGTCTATCTCTTATCTGAATATACTGTAGTAGACGGTAGGATGTCCCAAAGACTGAAAGTTCTTTTTTTAAACGCAATTCTACAGAAGAACGTCTATCGATTGTTGTACTGTATTGTAAAACTCAACATCTCGTTATTGAAATTTTTCGCGATTACGGTGCTTCCTTGCCCGCGGCGTGGAATTAATTTCTCTCGCGAATGCCATATTTGCGCCTCGTTTAGTATACAATTGACTACCAGATCAAAGACCAGACGAGAAAAGCGAGAGCGTATGGCGATTTTTTTTCGCTCGCATTCCACAGTCACACCGTCATCGTTCTTGACCTCAGATGGTATGCAATTGCGTGTTTGGCGCCTCTTCTTTTTCCTTTTGGTGACACCGTTTTTGGTGGCAGCGAAAGTGGTCCAATTGCATGCAAGATGCAGTTGTTGCTCGAGAATGGGATCTGACGATTGTAGATAGAGGGCCACGGGGAAGAAATGAAAAAAAAATTGTAATTGAAAAATTTTATAAACAGAAGCACCACAAATATACAGGGTGTAAACGTTATGACAGTCATTAAAGTTAAGCAAAGTTAAAGAAGCAAAAATTTTCATATAACATGGGGGCCAAACGGCATTTTTTTAGAGAAAAGCGACTTACCTAGTAGTAGTAATAATAATAATGAAACTTACTTACTGACTAGAAATTTTGGCTTAACTTAATGCCATTTATTTGTTAATTACCCAATTTAAAAACGTTTTAGATTAGATCATAAAAATTAGTAAGATTGTGGTGATTATGGTCGATATAAAGCTTTATAGATAATAGGTTACCTTGCACGCCCCCCTCCACTTCCACTTTGGCCACGCCCACCGCGTGGTCTGATTGGCGGATCAGACGGCGGTCAAATTTGAACGGGGTTGATGGTATATGTTGATTGGTGGGCCGGCGCTAGATGGCGCACCCGACCGGAAGTGATCCAGACAGCCGACGGCTGCCGATCGCCTTATCAGTGTTGTTGTGTTCGCCTGCGGTTACGATGATAGTAAGGTGTAGTGTACAGGGGGTCGGGTGCGTTGGTAATCGCGTCGCAAATAAGGTTAGGTATACTATAACTATCTAAAACTGTAATGACTCATCGATGTTCACGTGAACATCACTTAACTACCAGTAGTCGGCTGTTCATAGGCGGGGTATGAATGTTTAACATGGGTGAACTAGATTTGTCACATGCTTAATAAAGAGTGGTTTAAAACATATTGTAAGTCAAAAATTTGGGAATTACCTTTATTCATCGTCGCTTCCACTTACATCTGACAGTAATAAACTGTCGCTATCGCTTTCCTCGTTGAAATTGACTATAACTGACTCTATGATGGTGTCGATGTGGTGGTCAAGCTGCCACGTTTTTGTTTCTTCCTTCACAACATGACGGATAGCATTCTGCCAAACTTCGGGTGTTTCTAGCTGTATGGAAGTCTCAAGTAAAACCTTAACGTCTGGTAATTTGAAGGTTGTGTTATGGCCCGCAATATAACCCTTCACTTGAGCCCAGATGAGCTCTATTGGGTTCAGTTCACAGTGGTAGGGCGGTAACCGCAGCACAGTGACACCACATTGACGGGCATCTCATCAGTCACGTAACTAATGTTCGCAGGTTTGTGCTGTTTAATTTTTTCATACAATTCCGCTTTCACACATGAATCGTCAAACGGGATTCCTTTTTCGCGCAACCATGGCTGCATGTCACTTTTTCGAGATCCCATAGTCGGTACACGTTCGGCTCGACGACTATGGTAGGAAGCATTATCCATGACGATCAGTTGGGCTCAACTCGCTGAAGCACCCCTTGAAACCAGCTCTCGAAGCAGCTGGCATTCATTTCGTCATGGTAATCACCTCCTTTCTTAGAGACGAAAATCAAGTCACACTCTTCTAAAAAGCCACTATCGCTACCAATATGAGTTACGATCAATCTTTGACCTTTCCCTGACGGTCCACGAAGACCTGTTGACAAACCTTCATTGCTTGCTTGTCGGTTACTCACTATGTTTTTGTCTATCCTGCATTTACCCATGTCTCGTCCAATTAATAGATTTTTCTGTTTTGTCGCCTATATTCAATAATTTCGCGTAGGTATTTTCGACGCCAGGCGACTATTTTAGGTCTCTCTATCAATACTGACTTCCGATTACGCGTTTCGTAACGAAAATTAATTTCGTGCAGGGATTTCCTCATTACCTCGACGCTCATTTGGGGTATAATTTCATTTTCCTTGATCGCTGCATGTACAGCCTTGAGGGTTGGTATCTCATTCCTAAAGAAGAATGAATGTACGGTTCGCCTTAACGCCATTTTGCTATCGTCATCCAATTTAACGGCCTTTCGTCCCTTCAAATTAAACTTTGGATCAGTAGTAGCTCCAGTTTTCTTCTTTTCATGCACCACCTTGCGAATGGTCCACTCTGGAACGCCTGTCATACTTTCACAACGCGCGAGTGCATCTCCCTGCGACATAGTTCTGTTCAGATAATTGAACACGTTGAGCACGATTTCTTTCGCGTCCCTCTTCAGTGCTTTACGAAGCCGTCTACTTGTTCCCTGGCTTTCAGTACTTCCACTCGTGCCATTTGTACTCTCCATGGTTAAGTATAACCAAAACAGTAACCACAGAAACCACAACAATAACAATCACACAACAATTCTTATAAAAACACACAATATGCGATCGCTCAACGAAACACGTTCCAATGCGCTGCCGACGCCTATGAGTCTGCCGGTCGAGGCGCGTATTTGATTTCATTGGTTCTACCGGCGGAGAACAATCAGCCATTATTTCCATCTCTGTCTGTGCTGTTGACCACCGCAAAGCCACAGAAACGACATATGCCGTACGCTATACGGCTGTACTGAAAGGAAGCCGGGATCGAGCTCTGATCACGTGTTGATCACGCGTATGAGTCATTACAGTTTTAAATAGTTGTAGTATAGATAGTCGTTCAGCGCAGGTGTTGTCGTAGCGATGATATGCAAGAGGTACACAGCGCGGGGCTGTAAAGCATGGGTGAATGGCGGGAGCGCAGGCTGCGAGGATGACGTCATGCGTCATTGATGGTTTGTGCTTCTCGCCGCTAGATGGCGCTGCACACGCGCACACTTACCACTAACTGTCTCAGCGTTTCACCTGGTGTGTGAAAGTTTATTGAACATATCAAAAAAAATCCACTCATATCAAATTTTCCCGTAGGATTCTATAGACTATGGTATGCGATAGTCCTACGCGGGGGCCAAGTTCCCGAGTGCTGATATCTGCATTGATTTCCACGATATTTAAAATTTGTTCCTCCTGCTGTACAGTAACCTGTCTTTCACGAGTGCGAATATTAGTGTGCTGAACACTTCCTGTATCTCGATTCGAGAACATTGTAAATAAACACGACGACGTACGCGAACAATAACTAACCACTGTTACCGTTTGCGATCGATTGCCGGTTCGATACGAGTGATGAACGATCGACGCGCTGCTGTCATGTGTGTTTTAAATATTTAATTTAATGAAACTTACTGACTACAAATTTTGGCTTAACTTAGAAAAACTAAATGCCATTTATTTGTTAATCACCTAATTTAAAAACGTTTTCGATTAGATCATAAATATTAGTAAGATTGTGGTGATCATGGTCGATATAAAGCACCTTAGACAAACATCTATTGACATTTGGACCATGGGTAATATGAACTTTTTGACTTATTTTGACTATTACCCATTTGAATAATGACTACCATAACGTAAAACAAGAGTAGTATCAATTACAAACTTCAAGGTTGAGACTAGGTACTTTGTAACAAAACTTATTCTATCAAGAAGACAAGTTGTACTAAATTTATTCACTACTGTGTTAATTCTTGAAGCACATCATGTTATTTCTTTGTATCAAAACTTGACATCGCGATGAAGTTATTTGAATGATAAACAATACTACATGCTTACTTACTAGTCAGGACGATTTTGGTGCATCTGCGCTTTTTTACCTGTAAAAGAAGAACGTTATTAGAAGCCTTGACAAAATCTTAGAAGAAATATTGTAAAAGACAGTACAGAGGTCAAAAATATACCTTATAATAAAATTATCATCTATGGTTTCAACTAATTTACATTAGCAAAATATGCAACACTTAGACCCAGTTTTACTAGCAGGAGACCAAAATTCTTGATGCGGATTAAAACAGATCAATGAGATCGATGAGAAGGCATCTTTCTTAACTGAATATTTTTTCACTAGTTTGAGAGTTATTTCAGAAAAAAATCGACTATATTCATCACTAGAAAAAGATCATTGATATATTATCATCCGGATAGAGATTTCAAAAAAAAGTATCGCGAGAGAATTTCTAATACTCGACGCAACTTTTTTTTATTTTTTGATCCTGCAACGTCCATCCCATAAATCGACATCATCAGAGAGGGCCATGTTTTCCTATGGAGTCCCCTTTCGCTTGACGGGAACAATCATATGGCCAACCAATTTTGCCAATAAATCAAAAATGGGACAAAAACTGCCAGTGAACCGCAGGTGCCAGTTTGGCGCCTTTTTATGTCTGACGTACAAGCCTCACATGTTAGCACGGTCATTTTATACAATCACACACCAAAATCATAAAAAATTTTTTGTTGATTATAGAGAAAATCGGTACCGGTTGTAACGGGTATCGGTTGTAATATGCGATGTTTTGCCGCCATTTTTGAAGCTGAGCGCGAACAACCTGTACTCAACACAAAAATATTGTTTTTAAGTTTTATTTTTATTGTTTTTTGTAAAATCAGGGTGTTCCTTAATGATATGCGAATATTTAAGGGTGTGAATCGAAGTGTTGAAGTTTTAGGAAAAAAATGGAAATTAATTGATATTTTCAGAACCGCTTCAAATATTTCACTGATATTTAGTGCGTAGTGAAAGTTAATAAAGTTGCATATTTGCAGTACGAGTACGGACTTCGATATTTTTTAAGATCGTTGAAATCAGTATGTACAGGGTGTTTCAGTTTATTGTTGCATAACTTTAAGATTCGATAGAACTTTTAAAATTAATGCGTAAAGTCTATATAAACATGGGTCGAAAAATGCGTGGCTTCCGAAATACAGGGAGTTTAAATTTACTTTCTAAAATAGTTTTTTTTGAATATTTCGAACAATATTTGATGTGTAACAGTGAAAATTGGTATGCAAGGGTTTTTTGGTACGACAAAACGAACCATGGGCATAGTTTTACTGTAGCCGCTAGAGGGCGCTCTCTACTGTACCTGTAGTGTATTAGAATGACCGAAAAATTTTTCTTAGTGCAATTTTTTGCTTTTTGAATAAAAAAACTGATTCTTTGCACTTTTCAACATAAAAATGCTCTCCTGTGAGTTTTCGTTATAGTTAGCCGTTTTTGAGATATTTCGATTTTTAAGGTTCGGTGCATTTTTAATTATTTATGGGAAAATAATATTTTTTTTACATTTTCGATTTGGGCATTACAAGTAATTAAGATGATCGTTTAGATTGTGTTTTTAAACACAGCAATAATTCCTAACTCCAAATAAACACAAAAAAACAGAATATTAATTTGTTTAATTTTCCAATATTATTTTTAACAAATTAAATTAATTATTTACAACTAAAATGCTATTGGATAGTTAGGACAAACATACAAAATCTAAAGTAGTTGCTCAAAATGTAAACCCAATTGTTCAATACACAATTCACATCTACGAATGATCGAACGTGGTATAGCATTATTCAAATAAGGCCTTATTTCAACACATGCATTCCTGATTCTGTCTATTAGCATATCTCTTGTGGTTACGGGAGTCTGGTACACTTTTTCTTTTAGAAATCCCCACACAAAGAAATCTAATGGATTTAGGTTAGGGGATCGTGGAGGCCAGGCGACTGGTCTTCCACGGCCGATCCATCTTTCTGGATAATTTTCGTCCAGCCAGTTTCTAACTATTCTCGAATAATGAGCTGGACAACCATCAAGCTGGAACCAGACCAATCTTCTTAAATCTAACATAACATCAACCCACATATTTGCGTGTTCAGCCTTTAAAAATTCCAAGAAGGTCGCAGCATTTCACCTTGCAGGCAAAAGGTAGGGTCCAAATAGTGGATTACGGTAGATACCAATCCACACGTTCACACTAAATTCATGTTAAAAATTTCTTTCCCGAACTGCATGCGGATTTTCATGCGACCAAATATGTTGATTATGAAAATTTACCACTCCACGTCTAGTGAAGCATGACTCATCGGTCCTTAAAACGTTACTTAAAAACTCCCTATTATTATCAGTTCTATCAAGAATCCACTGACAAAATGTGATTCTTCGTTCTCCGTCCCCTGGCTGTAGTCCTTGCACAGGTTGCAAATAGTAAGGACGTCTATGGTCATTTCTAAGAACACGGTGAACATGGCTTGCTGAAATTCCCAAGGCACCAGAAACTCTCCTAACACTTGTGGTCGGATCTCTATCAAACTCACGCAGAATCATAAGGGTAAATCTGCGCTGACGAACATTTATGTTTTGATCCCTTTGGAGATTTCCAAAACGATTTTTAATTATTTGGCGATGCACTCTTACAAATACTGAGCGTGTTGGATGTCGTCTGTTTGGAAATCTTCGTGCGTATTCTCTGGTTCTCTGGCTGCTTCTGCTGCGTTTCCATTTACACAGCCATACACAAAATGAATATCCGCTAACTCTTGATTGGAGAATAAAGATGGCATTTTTATAAAACTTACAAAAAAAAAAAACAGGTAAAAGAAACTAAATTTCGTGCATTCTCAATTGCAAAAAAACGTTTCAGGTTTCAACAGACAACAAAACTAACTGTCAACTAATTGACGTTTAACCTTATTCTGCTTTCAATTCCAAAAATATTTGCAGGCACAGCCTACTTCTAGAAATTATCAAGATACTGACTTTCTAACGTTATTTTATCATAAATAATTAAAAATGCATCGAACCTTAAAAATCGAAATATCTCAAAAACGGCTAACTATAACGAAAATTCACAAGAGAGCTTTTTTATGTTGAAAAGTGCGAAGAATCAGTTTTTTTTATTCAAAAAGCAAAAAATTGTACAAAGGAAAAATTTTCGGTCATTTTAATACACTACAGGTACAGTAGAGAGCGCCCTCTAGCGGCTACAGTAAAACTATGCCCATGGTTCGTTTTTTCGTACCAAAAAACCCTTGTATACCAAATTTCACTGTTATACATCAAATATTGTTCGAAATATTTAAAAAAAAACTATTTTAGAAAGTAAATTTAAACACCCTGTATTTCGGAAGCCACGCATTTTTCGACCCATGTTTATATAGACTTTATGCATTAATTTTAAAAGTTCTATCGAATCTTAAAGTTATGCAACAATAAACTGAAACACCCTGTATATCAACTCGATTATTTAAGATTATAATTTCAAGGTCAGAATAGTTTGTTGGTGAACGAAACGTTGAAGTGTCCATTGTAACATAAGCATTGGCGATTGTTACATGTTACAACCGACACCAATAAAAAATCTGGCTTTACGTGCACGGGAATCTGGCCATTTAATAGAGAAGAGTTCACTGAAGATGAGTTTGCCCCTAGCACTATAACCGATAGGCTAGAAGATAATACCAACGATCCCACTGATCATCATCCTGAAGAACCAAACGGAAATAAGCGCTCAGTAAAAAAACTCCGCTGCTAATATCTTCCCTAACACCGTCAATCGCCTCGTCAATGCTTTCAACACCAAAAGTTATGGACCAGTCGACTTCGCTCTTTTCCCCAAAATCTAAAGAACATTTCGAATGCCTACTAAGAAAAAGTTTACACCCGAACAAATAAGACCATGACCTTGACATTTTTTCAACTAAAAATATTGAACGAAAAATCAAAAATTACATGTGAATTCTTGACTAGATCTACCGTACTATAAAGTAATGCAGGCTGCATTGGACATACACGTCCGCGCCCGGAGCCTGGCTAGCCTCCGGTTTATTTTAACCCCGGAAAAATGCGCATAAATACCTCTAAATGTCAGAGCATTTTTCGTTTTTCCCTCTGATAAATTCCAATGGATGCATTCATACGCGGATGAAAAGGAGATGCGCATTTTTCTATGATCGATCACCTTTCCGTTCGCGACCCAATGACCCAACAGATCAGCATCAAGCCTCAACAAATATACCCTTAATGTTATTAGAAATGAAAATACAGAATTTCTCTAAATAAAACGTAGAGACACAACTCTTCTTTTCCTCAACAACAATGACAAAAATTCGCGTCAGGGAGATTGACCCATACTTCCTACAATTACGTTGGATGATTCGAAGAACATGGATCACTTAGGTACGGCGAATCTTCGACCTTTGCATATACTACGAGAGTTGTTCAAGTCACTGCCATAGCGTTTCTGAAATTGAAGGAGCACCTAGGCGGTCAACGGAGCAGTCACCAAGTTTCCAAGCGGGCTGAGGATTTCTTGCTTAAAAAATGCGTAGAAAAATAGCTCAAAGATCAGCGTTTCAAACCGCAAATTCGTTTTACAAATAAAAAATTCCTAGTGCCTGAAAAAAATATGGGAAACCTAGTAGTAATCTTGTGTGATTTTACCTGTCTTAAATTAAGCACTGTCTGTCTTTGGATATTAGCAAATAAACGCAAATATTTGAAAATGTTTTTCAATTGAAATTAACTGAAGGAATTCCTTCAGATTCGACAACACTGTGCTCGATATCCAGCACGCGTCAAAAGCCACGTGCGTTGGGCTCGTTCATATTGGCCAAACGCCTTAATTGCAAATATCTGTCCAGATGTAGACATTTCCATTCCTACTCAATCTAAGCGCGTTTCGTAATATGTTAACAACCATACATCTAGGTACACAATGGGTTAATTAATGTACACCGTGCATAATTCCAAACATGAATGGGTAGGAACGACCAGTCATGTATTCAACTGTTTCTTGGTAAAGCACGTGCGTTTTGTCTGAGA